TATGTTTCAGGGCTATTAGAACAGAATGATAGTTTTTATAATACTGGTTTAAAAACGCACTTCAAAGATTGTAGTGTTTGAAGATGTAGATTCTCAGGAGGCAACAGTACTGTTGACTTCTCCCTCCACTGGACACCAAGTAACTATTTAAGTTGATTCATAAAGGGTTTTTTTTTTTACTTTTCATATAATACGGTAGTCACACAATGAGGCAGTTCATATTTGTCTCAGTGAATCATTCATTTTTGACAGACACCTGTACAAAATACTTGGACAAAAGCCAGCTAAGATTTTCTGTTATCTTGCATGTTTTATGAATCTATTCACGTCTAAATGCAGCACTTTTTTTTTTGCGATGAGGCATTTGTTTTTATACTAAAATATCTGAATTACTTTGAATAAAGCTGGAAATTATGTCCCTTAATATAATTAAACAAATAAGGCACCAATGTTTTTGTAAGATATTTACATCTTTTAAGGACATTCGGTAGACTGATTCCCCACTGTTAGTTCAACCCCAAAACTTGTTTGTATTCAAAATTAATTATGACAATGCATATTCATATTGAAACAAACTATATTAAAGGGAATTATATTATATAACAAAGGGCAAGGTCACCAGAGTTCAACTATGTTTATTAGAGGATGCTTATGCGCATAATCATTCCATATTTGGAATTCCCATTTCCTAATATGGTAGGATGAAAATACCCCATAAATTACCGCAAAATTACAGCACGCTGTAACTTATGGTGTTACGGTGACAGATTTATAATAATAAATAATAATTCATGCATATTTTGCTGCATTAATGACTTTAATTATAACAACATAATTTGTTTTATTACAGAAAAACCATCTATATCTCCTGAATTCAAGCATAAAACTATCACTGTGCGTGCAGGAGATCCTTTCCGACTGGAGGTACCATTCGATGGTAGTCCAGTGCCACAAACAATCTGGTCACTGGAAGACAAAGGAGATGTAGAAATCCAACTGTCTGATAGATTGACATCAGAAACAGATGAATTTTCTGTACTTCTGAAGTGTAAATGTGCTGAAAGAGACGATACCGGCAGATACAAACTGACATTGAAGAATCCTAAGGGTTCAGATACTGCATCAATAAAAGTTAACGTTGTGGGTGAGTTCTTCTTTTGGTGTTATACGACATAATACAAATTGGCACCATTAATTCTGTAAGACATATTTTAATGCCAAGAAATATTCATGGCATTATGTTCTGAATATGTGTGGTTCCAATAACGTACGTAAAATTTATGGCTACCCTAATTTTTGTTGGCAAAGTTTAAAAAAAACACCACTTGATTTTAATGGAACGCTATTTTTACCTCCGCTGTCACCAAAGATGTAAGGTAAAGTGTGATATTCATGTATCCATGTACAATAGACATTTATTCCAACCGTCTTCTTTCTCTACAGATCACCCCGGTCCTCCACAAGGTCCATTAAACGTTTCAGGCGTAACAGCAGAATCAGTGAAATTGTCTTGGAGTCCACCCAAAGATGATGGAGGTAGCCCAGTAACCAATTACATTATTGAGAAACGTGAAACTGGCACCACCACCTGGCAGAAGGTCAGCACTTTTGCCAAGTCTACTACGTATGAGGTACCAAACTTGGAAGAAGGTGTGGAATATTCATTCAGAGTGCTAGCAGAGAATGAGTATGGAGTCAGTGATCCATTAGACACATCTAGACCAGTAACAGCTAAAAATCCATATGGTAAGTGTATTGTGGGAGGTCCATAGATTTCTAGTTTGTGTTAGATCATGTTGAGTTGAGTTTGCTTGTTCAAAATCTGTTTATGGTCCACACTGTCATTGACTGTTTACATAGCAATCGACTGTGCCAGATTTTCTACTCAGACAAAAAATATCTGGTACTGGATATTTCCACTGTGAACAGGACTTGTTAAAAATATTCACTTATAACTATTTGTGTTTTAGATGTTCCTGATTCTCCGGGTAAACCAGATATTAAAGGTATTGACCGAGGATTTGTTAGTCTTACTTGGACTGAGCCTGAATCTGATGGTGGAAGTCCAATTATAGGATATTTTGTAGAGAAGAAGGAGAGGGATTCTAGTACATGGATGCCTGTAAGTTGATTTATTGTCTTGGCAATAACTGATAGAAGCAAATCATTACTCAAAATTAGGCACATGGCTTGTGCGTTCTGATTAGGTAGAGGTTACATTCACTTCTTACTGGCCTTATTTTGCCTCTATCTACATCTGTCTAAATTACTATCCAGGGAACAAAATAACAACCACACTGAGAAACTCGTTGTCCACATTAAAATATAATTTACCATTGAATCTTTCGTTTTCAGAACTTTGAATGCCAAAGCAAATTTCATCAATATATTCATTCATTCATTAATTCACTCAATCATAGTGCGGCATTCCCTCTGACTTCTGCAAAATGACATTTCCATCATTGCACCTCCATTGCATTACCAGTAGTTTGGTAGACTGAAACATGTCATTCTCACCACCAAATATCACAAATACGTCTCACCAATATCGATGAGAATAAATATTTTGTCTTTCCAACTGTAAGAAGATGGTATTTTCACACTCCAGTACCTAATACTTGTGTATACCTTATCTGTTTGTAGGCAGTAGAGTATGTAGTAAAGGCCACTAGTGTATCACTGGTTAATCTGGATGAGTACTCAGAATATGAATTCCGTATTAAAGCTAAAAATGCAGCAGGTTATGGTAGACCTAGTAAGAACTCAGATTCTGTAACACCTTGTCCTCAGTACAGTAAGTTTGTTTTAAATAGTTCAAAATATACCCTATTTGCTGTACTATGGACAAATCTGTATAGGAATCCGCAGCTTCTATTAAAATAGAACATGTGCTTCTATTAGAGATGTGTTTCTAATACAGCAAATATGGTTTTGATGTCTGTTTCAAATGATGTTGATAGTGCTTGGTAGAGATGTATCTACATGTATGTTCAAAATGAATTGTATTTTAATGATCCTGTATACAATTATATTCCATGTTTGTCACTTTTAGAATTTTTTTTTTTAAAGCGTTGCATTATAATATTTATTTTGAGAAAAACAGTATGAAAAATGAAATTTTTGCAGCTATTTCATTCGGAATCTCTGATAAACCATCATTTATTAGAAATAGTTAGTGAGTAGTGCTTATAACTACATATAATATTATAAGATATGACAAGATCTTTCCCATAGCACTCAATGGAACCAATTGAAAGCAAATTTTCTGCCCCTAGTAAATAGGTTGAAATGCCAGTGAATTAATTGAAAATAAAGTCAAATGAAGTTCACAGTTAATGATCTAAGTATGAGTATATTTTTAATGGAATTCCCAAAAAATTGACACTTTTTCTTTGCTTTTGTAAAATTGAAGTGGTTTACTGTAATGTGACAGTTTGATATCTTACAATATGATGTGTTTTGTTTTTCACAGCAAATCCTGGTGCCCCAGGAACACCTATAATAGATGATGTAGATAAACATCACATTGATTTGTCATGGTCTCCTCCAAAGAATGACGGTGGCAGCAAAGTAACAGGTACAACTTTATAATTGTTTATTTCAAACTTTTTATTACCTCTTCTGTCCACGCATTCAACTGTTGTCTATTTTTGTCAGTTTTGGTAAAAAATCTATTTTTGCCAACAGAGAACTAAACTGCAAAATTGTCAATTGTCAAAAGTTTAATCCCACTTTTTCTATATTGGTATTGTGGTTCTGATTGCTTTGAGACTCAGCCACTTAAACTATAGAGCTATCAGCTGACAGACTACTTGTTTTGATTTTTTTATCAAAATTTCATTAAAAAAAAGAAAAAGAAAATTTATAGGAAAAATCTAAATAAAATTAAAAATATGTGTGTGTGCATTGATTTTAATAAACAAATTGAGCATGTTTTTTTTCTTTCTGAGCCTTATTGATTTCTTTCTCTGTTTTGTGTAGGCTACAATGTTGAGTATCGTGAACCTGAGAACAATATTTGGACAAAAGCTAACATTTTCACTGCAAAGGAACCCAGATTTACTGTGGGTGACTTGATAGAAGGTCAACAATATATCTTCCGTGTTATCGCCGTCAATATTGCTGGTCCAGGTGAACCAAGTGGAGAAACTGATCCAGTTGAAGCAAAGGATAAAATCGGTATTTAATTCTTTTTTCTATCTGTGTTGCAGAATATCAAATGAATGTGTCATGGTCATTGAGTCATATCATGTTCAATATTTGTTTTATGCGACATATGTAAAACTTGTGGCATGTGAGTGGATAAAACTAGAAACAAGTCACCAAACGATATTTCACTTTTTATTGGTAATAGACCATTTTCTATTCACTGCGAGATACTGCGTTTTGTGTGAAAGAGGTATGTAAATCTGTCGAAATGGACATAGTGCGAGTGGTTAGTGCTAGTAGCACTAATCCGAAAAACTACTAGATCTAGTGCTAAAATGGCACTAGATCTAGTGCTAAAATGGCACTAGATCTAGTGCTAAAATGGCACTAGATCTAGTGCAAAAACGGCACTAGATCTAGTGCTAAAATGTACATAGTGCGAGTGGCATTGATATTGCGTTGTCAACGACGTCAAGACATCCCGTGATTCTCTGAAAATAAATTAATATTTACGTAAAATTGTTGTATCTTTCATTCATTGGAAATGTGCTACAGTGGGAAAATTGAGAATGTCATTGTCCACGTTTGTCGTAATACTAATAGACCTTTGGAACAACGCGATCGGCCGGGAAACTAGCTGAAAGAGTGAAACTGCAGGTCGAACTGCGCAATTTTTACAAATTGTGAATAGATATACTGTATGAAATG